AAAAAAGTTGGCTGATTGTCCTAATGATGATTATTTCACATTCCTTAATCTGTAAAGAAAACAGTAAACAAGATGTTTAAGGTTGCCTTTATCATAAGGATCCATAAGGTATTGTGTTGCCCTGTTTCTAAAGTAAGGGTTTTAATACCTATGCATACACTGTAAATGAAAATCAGAAGTTATAGTAACAAGCAAGTAGTAAATGAAAAATCGGAAGCTATTCTCCGGGTATATTTATTGGTTTTTAGTGAGATAATATAATATGCCTAGCACATATATTTGTAGCACTTATTTTGGTCTTCCTTAAATGTAACGCTTAATTTTTTTCTTGCACTAAAAATAAAGCCTATTAGAAGGTAGCATTTCTATGGACTGGGAGCAAACGTTGTCATTCAAGCTGCATTCATGCAATTTTACTGTTATTTAAATACTAGAGATGCACAGGTGACTGATTTTATTGAAACAAGATGTTAAATAGGTCTTCATCCCCATAGCAATCAAGGGCACCTCCAGGCAATGAAGTTTTCTGTTAACAAACCCTTCCAGTTTACGGTTTAAAGAAGAGGCGATGCTGGGGCATTCTCACCATTGCAAAAATAAGGATGCTATGAGGATGGGTGTGATTCCATTCAGGGCTCTGTCAGGCAACCAGCGCTCTGCTGCTGGCAAGCTTTGTCCAGACTTCCCCCTATTTCTCCTCTCCCCATTTCCCCCCCATAATATTTGGTGGCCTTCTGCATGTGGTTCCTTTGCAAGCCAGTGTACTGTGCTATGGCTGGGAGGCAGACAAGCCAGACTCTACCACTGAGAGTACAGAGCCCCTCTCCTCTTGGTAGGAACCCTCCAAGCATGTGGGTTATCATTTTCACTGCCTTTTTCCCTGCTGTTCCTAAATGACAAAAGAAATGGGCACTGAGCATTGTTACATCTGCATTGTCGTCTGATCCATGGGGGTGGCTTCTCTGTAGCTATCAGATGGGAACCCAAGAGTCCTCCCAATAACCAGATGGTAAATTTGAGCAAGACCTAGCTCTGATTCTGTGCCCATTCTGTTCGTTTTGCTCACTTTCTGTGGCTCAGATATCAATTCAGTGCGAATCTTGACTCATACGATGGCACTGAATGCAACTTCCCTGTTGTGTGTTTTTATTGTATTGTATTAAAATACGGCTCTGTTAAATAAAGTCCTAAGCTCTTTAAAAAGGAAACGGTGAAAAAACTAACAGAGAAATGGTCATTTGTTCCTCCCAAAATCTTGCCATTCATGTCAAATATTTCCCCTCACTGAGGGGAGAGAAGTCACTGAAGGGCAAGCAAGCATTAAGCTTTCATATTTGATTCAGGTAGGTGTTGAGTTTGCTGACCGATCAGGGAGGATTTTCTCATGTACTGTACGCATATTCACCAGACTCCCAATAACAGCTATTATTTCAGAAGTAGTACAGCTGTGATCTTATACAGGTTCTTTCAGTAGGGCTTTCCCCCCCATGGGGCTGTGAGGCCAAGTGTTCAGATCCTAGAAGCCATAGACACACTTCAGTTTCTCCCATCCCTAATGCAGTATAGCACACTTCAGACTAGATCCATTCAAACAAGACATTGGGTAGCCTTACTGAAGGGGTACCCAATTAGTTGTTCCTTAGAGACCACTCAAGGGGGCCTGAACCTGCCTTGATCCACAGCTTGATTGAACGCTATATTCGGAATTGAGGGAAAAATATTCCTCCTCCATAAAATTGGCTGGCAACTTGGTCCAGCCTTACCTAGCTGCAGATTAAGCCTGCGAAACTATTATCTCTCCAAGTTCATGGGGTCTTTCAATTTAACCACTTTTTTTTTTTTTTTTACGGTACTGCTCTGCTTTAGGTATCATCAGAGGGAAGAAGTTAAGGGGCAGAGTTGCCTGACATAAGCCAATGTAAGAGTTATTTACCATGCCTGTCTTGGTCATCTTTAAATCCGAAGAGATCTGCATCATCCTTCCGATGTAGATGCTGCTTAGGAATTTAACAGTGCACAAGTTTCCATATCCAAAAACATGTGCTTAGGGTTGGAAAAGAAAGGACGCGTCCCAATTTTGTCTGGGTCCCATCCATTCATCTGAACTTGCATACTCATTAGAGGCTGATAACACCAGCAAACAGAGTGCAGGATGGGACTGGGTAAATAAGGAGTAGTGTCCTGAATCTTCATTGAATCCCCCCAACGTAAGTCCATCCTCTGTATATACCAAGCCACCCCACAGAATAGTGGACATTTTGCTAATTTAATATTTTGTGCAGTCCGGCACCAATCAAAATATCAATTTCTTTGCAGCCACAGCACTTCATGGGAACTAAGAATAATGACAAATCTTTAGGAAATAGGTCTGGTTTTAGTTCATAAAACGTGAATCCAAGGAACCAAAATTCTAGATCTTTTATGGCGGGGGCGGGGGGAGTTGTATGAGAACCTGCTTTCTTTCGCTGTGGACTACCTAACTCATTCTCCTTGAAAAAGGGGCATTTGGAGTCGGGGGGGGGGAGGATGGACTGGCCAGAGTTGATATCAAAGGTCTCAGGGGGATTTAGCCCAAGGATCTCTCACCTTAGGCAGAACCACTGTCCATAATAAAGCCATCAGACTAGTTGCATGCTGTTCTTCCATAGAACAGACAATTGCCAATATATTGATTGCAGCAGGAGTATTTCCAATTGGAAAAGTATTCCAGATATGTGTGATAAAAGGAGGTACAAGAAACTCTTCAAGTGATTCACCAGAAAACTATCTATGTGCTTGTTATGTTCCTTTCTCGAGTTGGCTTTTCTATTTATGTGATTGCCAACAGCAGCCAAATAAAACAAGTGTTGCTCTGGTAACACTGCGTTGTTACTTCCAGATATTTCAGCCGCCGTTGAGAAAGGTTTTGAGTCAATGAACAACCTGTCCTGGATGGGCTGCATTCCATTCAGGAAAGGTAAGCATACCTTCCAGACAAAATAGTTGGATAACAGCTCTTGAAACTTCTGTACCACTTCAGACCAGGGACAGAAGAAATTGGGGTCAGCAGAGAAAGCCAGAAGATGGATTATCATCTTAGAGTGCAGTTTGATTCCCAATTATCTAGGTAATACGACCAACGTTGCTCACTCGCCGGTTGTCCTGAATTTCACTAGTAAAATGAAAAAAGCTGGATTAATGAGGAGTGGATTTTCATGAGTTGGAATATCAGCTCCATTCAGTTCTGCTACACAATCTGAATTCTTGAGTGCTACATGGGTGTCCTTGCACCAGGTTCTGATGGGTGGATCTCAGAGTTTTAATTTTTTTAAAAAAGTAGATGAATAAACCCAAAGTCTACTCACCATTTAAATATTCCTGATGTTGTGAGATCAATACTGGCAACAGCAGGTATTCTATTAAGTTATACTGGCAATATCCACACAACTGCTTTAATGTGCTCCCTTCCCATCTACAGCTTGCAAGAAATAATCTCTTGGCACCCATCTAGTGAATGTCCAGATTTATGCAGCATTTGGGTAAGTGCTGTTGTAGAGCTGGAGTTTGAGAAAAGGGTTTAGCCGTGGGGATCAATGCAGGAGCTGCATGCTATCCTCAGAACAATAGGTGAGGAGAGGAAGTGAAGAGGCAGAGCTCCTGGAAGCTATGGCCACTGGAAAGGAAATACAAGAGAGATGTCCTTTCAGTTACACATCCAATTAAGCCAGGGACAAGCCAGTCATGTACAGGGTTTTACACTCTCTAGATTGTTGGAGGATCAGACCCCCACGTTTTTTTTTTTTTTTAAAAAGGTGGCTGTTGAAGCCAGGTTCCTGGTTTTCCTCACTGCCAAAAGAAAATTGAGGGGCAGGAGAACAAGTCTGGGACCAGAGGGAAGGAGGTGGTCCTACAGGAAACTAGCAGAACCATTTGGAGCCATGGGTTTACCAAGACAGAACACACCATTTCAGATTATCTCCTTGTGCATCACCACCCCGTACATTGCCAGCACGCAGCCTCTGGAGATGGGATAAGAGAGAAAATACTACTTTCAAAGCAGAGCACCTCAGTCTATCCTCAGGCTGCTTCAGCTGCAGGTGGACAATGAGATACAGAAAAGTGGCATGATAATGATGTCCCTTGGAAATTGCTAGTGATCTGTCTTCAGACCAGGGCAAAGAGATTGAGTGAATTTTTCCACAGTCTGATCATCTCATCTCATCATCTCTCTCTTTCTCATCACAGCTCACAGCTCTTAACAACTAATTTCTGTTGGGGATTTGGGGGCATTTGCAGAAAAGAGATTCATTTGGGGTTGGTTTGTTTTTAAGAAAGAAGAACCTTCTCATCTCAGCAAATATCAAGGTTGATAAAAAATAGGCAGGGAGAACTGAAGCACGCAAAAGGGAGAAGCAAAAGGAGAAATAATGTCAAATAATATTCTGTGTCTGGAGAGGTTTCCTTCACTCACACAAATATTTAACATTTGTCATCTCCTACAAAAATCAGTAGCTTCCACTAAATTATATAGAGAAAGAATATAGGGTCCAACAAAACTGATGCCCCTACTCACTGGCTTCCAGGAAACATTGCACTTTGCCACACATGGTCCATTGGGTCATAAGCTTTCCCTAAGCGAGAGAAATTCAAGCTATTTTCTTCCCTTTGGTCTCATCTACTCATGTGCAAACTGTGGGCTGTGGGTCAGGGCACATGATGGGAAGTCAGGCATTCCAACGGGAAAGCAAAGGGTGGAAGGTAGGCTTCCTGAAGCACAGGTGCAGCATAGAAAAGAGCCCTTTTTTCTGGCATTTCTCAGATGTCCTGATTCT